GGCCACCTAAACGACTCTCTTCTGTGCCTAGACGCCCGACCTGAGCATTCAAGTCTCCGGCTAGTACTACAATATCTGTCGAACGCACTTTCTGGAGAAGAACTGATAACTGGTGGTAAAACTCATCCTTGATTGCATCCGGGCTGCAATCTGTCGGGGCATAGGCGGAGATGACGAAAAGACATCGTTTCTCACGCCGATTTCTTCTCACTTTGATGGAACTTTCTAATCTAACAGCACATAACCGACTGTTAATGGGGATCCAATCGACTAGTGCTGCCTCAGCTCTAGCGCTTAGTGCGACACCAACGCCAGCAAAACCAGACGAAGATGCCACAGGGTCCCCGGATAAGCGCACGTAAAACAAGCTTTTCGAAGCGACAGATGGAGATCGAATTTGTAGTACTTCGCCAGAGTCTTGAATACGGGTCTCGGATAGACAACACACGTCGATATTAAGACTTTCCAAAGACATAGCCAGCCCTATCTGTTGTCCGACCTGCATAAATGTGCGAACGTTGAAGGCAGCCAGTTTGAATGATGCACGTGGTTTCAGAAAATCTGCTTCAGTCCTCGTATTCGGTGGTAACATACAATTTTCAACCGGACAGTGACTCGAGAACGTTTAGATACAGTCGGAATTCCACCAAAGACGAGCCGCTGTATAAGTATAAAAGAAGGTGAATAATGTGGAAAATAATAATAATAATGATAATAATAACAATAATGACAATAATAGTAGTAATAATAATATTAGTATTAATAATGACAATAATTGAAGTGATCATAATTTGAATCAATTGATTGTTTTTCAAAGCGACAAAAGTAGTTTCCATAGACATAAACAGTTCATCATTTGTGTGTGGGCTGTGATACTGCCCGGGTGCCCAAACCGAAGCAGGTGGTTATCTTAGGGGGCCACTCCCCGAGCCTTTGACCTAAAGGTCTAACCCACAAGGCAGTGGAGCATCGTAAGGAGATGCAGTCCCATGGTAGCCGGTGACCAACGATTGGTTCATACGCCATTCGTTCCCGCAGGATACTGGAGCCCATGTGCACCATTGGTTTGGAATCCGGTTAAAGCGCCGGACATTCGCTTCTCGTCCTCTCATTTTCGTAAACAACACCCCCGCCACGAGAAGGCAATGAGTAGGACTTCCCTGGCAGAGGCTATATACGCGTGGCCGTGTGAGAGTATTTCGAGAGGGAGAGCGGACTCTCCCCACTCTCGGCCGTACCAGGGCATTCAGGGGGCTGATGAGACTTCCAAGATAAGTGAAGCGGTCGACACACTCAACTACTTCACTCCCTATCACTAGTTCGGGTGTCGATGTAACCCAATCCTGAAGCAACATTTTGCATTTCGAGGGGAGAATCGCATCCCGAACATGCTTGCATTGTTGCTTAGAGTGGTCAGAAGACTGCATTTTGTCAGCGTCTTCACCAAATAAAACTATGTCATCTGCATATTCTAAGTCAACAAGTGAACCACTCGGTAGAAGTTCAACCCCTGGAAATCTAGACGAGGAAAGTGTTATCTCTAGAAGTACGTCGACAACAAAGTTGAACAAGAATGAAGAGAGTGGACAGCCCTGACGAACACCACTTGAGGTAATCAATTCTGATGACAGTTCGCCATAAGCTCTCACTCGACCAGTTGTGTTCGAGTAGAGAGCCTTCATAAGGTTAATGTACTTCTTTGGTACTCCTTTCAGTGACAAACACTGCCATAGAACCTCACGATCAACAGAGTCGAATGCCGCCTTAAGGTCGAGAAATACTACCATTGTGGGGCGTCTGAATGTGTGTCTGTGTTCTAGAACCTGACGTAGTGTGAATATGTGGTCTATACAACCACGTCCAGGTCGAAAACCGGTATGGTTTTCTCTAATCTGCTCTTCACGAGCTTTGATTAGGCGTCGAAGTATTATTGAAGCTAATATTTTAGACACTATATTAGTCAAACTGATTCCTCTGTGATTGTCACAAGAGGACTTTTGTCCTTTCTTATAGACTGGCACAATCAGTGATTGAGACCAGTCAGATGGGATTACGTCCAGTTCCCAAATTCTACCTAAGACCTCAGTTAATCTCATTGCTAATACTGGACCACCATCCTTAAAAATCTCAGGAGTAAACCTGTCAGGGCCTGCTGCTCTCCCTCGTTTCAGATTTCTTATGGCTTTTTCAACTTCGTAAAGGTACGGAGGACCTACATTAACTTGCCATTCAGGTTGACTGGAGATCGTGGGAAACCGAAGTGTGGCTGAAGGCCAGTTGAACTGATCCCTAAAGTGTTCTGCCCATCTATCCAATCTCCTGGATTGAGAGTGTATAATATGTCCATCTTTCTCTAAGAGTGCTTCGCTAACAGTCGGTTTCCTAATACCGGTTTCCTTAACAAGTCTGAACAATTGTCTGCTATTACCTATTGCCGCTGCCTTTTCCATCTCTCTTGCTTTCGCTACCCACCACTGTTCGCGATCATTGCGTAGGCTTCTTTTCATCTTGTGCTTAAGCTGACTCCGCTTTTCGTTATGTTCAGAGTCAGGTGGAATGAGTTTCCGAGCATCTATCAGTGCGATAGATGCTGCTGAGATCCAGTGTTTCTCCCTAACTTTACGGTTTACCTTACTAGCGGATATCACTGCTTCTATCGAGCCCCTCCATCGGTGGCTGATAGCGATGTGATCTATTCGGGTCCAACGTTGGGACGAATTAGGGGGTCGCCATGTTAAAAGATGTTCTTCCTTATGCTTAAAGTTAGTGTTTGCAAGGAACAAGCGGTTATCTGAGCATAGCTGCAACAGACGGTCGCCATTATCTGTTCTTTGAGCCACGACACCATAAGATCCACCTAGGTGTCTTTCCCTTTCGCTTAGTTTACCTACTTGAGCATTAAAGTCACCGGCCACCATTACTATATCAGAGCACCTAGCTTTTCGGAGAAGGTCCGAAAGCTTTCTGTAAAACTCATCTTTTACATCATCTGAGCTGCAGTCAGTGGGAGAATAGGCAGAGACGACGAAGAGGCAACGACGAGTGTCCCTATCTTTCCGGATTCTTACTGTTCCGTTCAGTCGGACAGCGCACAAACGACTGTCTACTGGGATCCACTCTAAGAGAGCTAGTTCTGCTCTGGGACTCAATGCTATACCTACGCCGGCGAGGCCACGGGAAACAGAATCAGGGCTTCCAGATACACGAAGCGTAAATCGAGTCGGTTCTTTATTTTGGCATGGTGAGGTCAAATGAATGACGCTACTCGGATCCTTATGCGCGTTTCGGAGACGCAGCACACATCGATGGCGCGAGATTCTAAAGTCCTAGCTAAGGAAGCCTTCTGTCCTATTTGGCAGTGTTCGTACGCTAAAAGCTCCTACGTGTAGTTTAGAGCGTCAGTCAGTCAGTCAGTAACAACGTAGAACTTCGTACATACGTACATCAGTTCGAGTTGCCACACCATGTTAGCACAGAGATTCAGTTGTCGATTCAAATCCCGTAGTGGTAGAGGTAGCAAGAGTATAAGCAGTAATCGGAAACATTAGGGTTTGGAGATGTTATTTAAAGAGTATAATCCAGTGAAATAAGTTTGGAAAGAGAAAAAAGAAAGGGACATGAAGAATTCAGAAGATTAGAATTTGGGAGAACACAAAGAGTGGATGCACCTGCGCCATTGCAAACGATTTTGAGCCATGTCATTCAGGGTCTAACTATCGGTTGCTATCATCTCGTGGTCCCCAAAGTTTAGAGCGTGGTTTCAGGAGACCAGGAATAGCGTTCCACGTACTCGAATCGTTTGCCCTAGCGGTGCGAGGTGATAAAGAGACATGAGGAGGGTTAGTCATGGAGATAAGAGAGGTATTAGGAGGTGTAGGAAGGATTTGAATGTGACCGACTTGGTCTCGTGTGTTGTTACGGGTATGGGGGCTGATGTCACTTCCCGGTTGCCCACACCGTGGAAGGGTATTTCTTGAGGAACCTGAAAAGGAAATTGGATTAGTGTTGGTCTTGACGACCTGGGAGCGTGACCGCAGAGCCCAAGGGACAACTGCTTGAGGCCGGTCGCGCACGGCCTTTTCGTGGAAGGTTTTCAATGCGTTAGCTCCGTTCTTCAAAGGGCCTTACCACCGGAAACGGAAATCCGTGAGGTAAGGTTAGGTGTGACATTTTTAGGGTCGACCTTTTTTAACCCCACCCCTCCTTGTGGGAAGGCAGCATCGCTGCAGATACTGGTTGTCCGAGGGAAACACCTTACTGCTGTCACACCCCTCTACAGTCAGCAGTACGACTTCGCCGTCAGATCTCGAGTTGCTACTTTTAGTCTTACCGTTCTCCAATCGACCTGCCTGGCATGGTAGAACCTACAGGAACATATGTTCCAGCCAATATAGCTCGGTTGGGTCATTACGATAGGCAAGCCCGACCACCGCGTCAAGGTAGCAGCTTCGGTCGGGAGAAAAACAGGAATATGTACAGAGAGTAATTATGACAACATCTGGATTGAAAGGACGATGAAGTTTGTAAGAAACAATCAATCGAAGATGCCCAAATGATGTATTTAATGTATGGTTTTAATATTTTACCAAGACACTAATGTTGCATTAAACAATAAATTGTTCTTTCCCATCTGAGTTCTTGTTCACTACAGTATATCTTCTGGTAGAACGAGACGTCAGTACATTAGAATCCCCGCGCGCAAGCAATGGTATAAAAGCTATACAACACCTTATCTAGCAAATTTACTATTTAATAAACAGGTTGTTAGGGTTGTCCTAGTCAATAACTTGTATTCTTTAGAATGTTTCTAACTGAAAAATGTTGTACAGATTAAAATCTTAAAATAGGCATTTCATTTAATTTCAGGTAGCTTATCTACTTAACTATTTTATATATGTATGCAGTTATCAGTTTCTTTCACCTTATTTCCTTTTCCATTGATAACAGTAAGAAATAACTTCATATGTTCTTAAAATATAATGACGTTCTTGTTATTTCAGTGAATTATGGACAAAAGCATCCAGATCCTGTTGTCGAGTCGAGTTCCTTGTCCAGTGTCTCTCCTCCAGATATTCATTATCGCCTGATTCTTCCGGATGAAGTTATCGAGCGGGCGTATCTTTCAGCTTTGCAACTGGAAGCAGTGGTGTACGCCTGTCAACGTCATGAGTGTATCTTACCGAATGGTCAACGTGCTGGGTTTTTAATTGGTACGTTATTTGTTGTTTGCGTAGTATTTATCATACATTTTCGTCGCTTAACAAAACTGTAAGCTGTGGTACTAGTTAACCAAACGTGAATTTATGTACTCATTTTATCCATTGAACTTGGTGCAATGGGTCTCAAATTTTTTAAAGAATTTTTTTAATTTTTTGTGAAGCTATTCATCCAGGATAACTAACCTTATGAATCGAATCTACCCGAGTCAAAGGACTAATCTAATGCTACTTCACATATGTTGGTATGTTCAGCTCTTTTGGTCGTGAGGTTCTGTGTGTTTGTCATCCAAAGGCGTACCAATGAAGTGCATTGACTCTGTTAAGGCTTTCTACTCGAGCGGTTCTGATTAAGTCAGAGCTCACAACTAACTGGTATCAGAATTAATAACTTCACGTGTCGTTCATCAGGACTTTCATTTTTCCAGTTTTTATTTAACTTTGTCATAGAAAGGCTTTTAGCGACAGAACTTTCATCTTTTGATTTCAGGGGTCTATCTTGCATCAGAGGATCACATGATAACTTGGTATAGGCAGATTATATACTTCTGCTTGATGAAGACGCTGACAAAATACAGTCTTTTGACCACTTTAATAGGCAATTCAGGCATGTTTGGGATGCGATTCTCTCTCTTTAAATGCAAAGTGTCATTTCAAGAGTAGTCTGCGTCAGTGCCTGAATTAATGATAAGGAGTAGAAAAGTCGATCGTACAGACCACTTCATTTACCTTAAGGTTGTCATCAGTGCTGATGTTCTGGTGTCTGATGAAACCTCAGCACGGATTCAGGAAATCAGATTGAAGTATGCCAATTTGAGTCACTCGTGATTTGAGTGAGATGTCAGTCTGCCAACCAAAAGCGTGTGTACTGCGAAGAAGTCTGGTTTACCTTGTGGCTGTGGAACATTCTACGAAATTAGAAGACCTACGTAGGCTACATGTTTTTAATCATGTGTTTTCGAAGCATTGCTTGGGTCCCACGTAACTGTCGAGTGACCAATGGTGAGGTAAGAGATAGGATACTAAGTAAAAATAATGGGATTGTAAGTATTCATCGACTAAGGTGGTTAGGACGCACTTTTTTATGCCTGGTAACTGCTTCAAATCGCAATGCTTGATATTACAGAAGTAGTTTGGGAGAAAGCTAGGAAACGCCAAACCGAAACTTGGCATCAATCCATGAGATCACTTACTTGATATGAGCCATGTGGATGGATACAGACTACCTAGTTGGAGTCCGTGTGATAACTGCGATCAGCAGTTGGAGACGGTGAAGTGGTTCTAAATCATTCATACTTGCGCAGATGCACTCTTTATTTCGCTTTAGATGTTAAGTCCCATTATTCCTCCATACATAATTCTTCCGTTTTTAGGAATCGTATTCTTAATATTCAGTCTTTCTCATTATCGTCGCTATCACATTATTACCATATCTTTTACTAATCACGTCAATTTTTTCTACCTCATTTTGCAATATTGTTGTGAAAACTTTGGTCAGTGCACATTTCTGCTAGGTTCTTTGTTGATCATGACTAACAGAGTAGTTTAGCAGTTAATATTTGTCTGTCAACTATAATTTTCAGAAAAGGTTTTTAGTTGTGCAGGCGTAATTAATCTTTTACTGTTAAATCTTACTAACTTTGTGTGCCTTGACTAAAAACCCTTGTCACTAATTTAGTAGCTTACTCAAGTATCTAACTATTGTAGCACGCGATTATTACATTTTAACGGTACAATCGGATAACAACTTCATTTTTATGAATACTTTTTAAATGATATTGAAGAGGTTAAGTTGTAGGTTCTTGGATAATACCTAGTTGTTTACCTCATAACAAGGGAACCAAATAATTTGGCTATAGTTTAAGTCATGGTTAGACTCATGATTTCTGAATATTCAGCTATTTGGAATGGTTATTACTCAATGACATTTTACGGGTTGTAAATATTACAAGTATTCAATGTAAAAATGAATACCGGTGAATCGAAATATTACTGTGTTCATATTTTTCAAGAATGACAACAGCTTCATAGTCATTGTAAGCTTGCTTGCTATAGGAAGCAAAACAAGTATTTCCCTAAACACTTTGTAGTTCAGTCATCTTCCAATAGTTGCAGAATTTTAGGCATTATGAGGTTACTTCATTTTAGTCGAGAATATACACATTTCCATCCAGGTAAGAAAACATTTTTGTTACATGTGCATAACTGTGTTTTCAGAAATTCTCTCCTTTTCATATCGTTTTCATGAATAACATTATGTAACATTGTTACTATAAGTCTGAAGCTCATGATTAAACAATGGTATATCAATGAGCTACTGTATTGTTTCAATTATTAAGAAAATGTACTGTTATGAGTCGGTGTAGGGCCAGATGCGTAGTATAGCGACGTAAAGTGTTGTACTTTTGTATGACTTTTTAGATTATGTTCACTTTCTGTTATTGACTTGTGAACAAGCGCTTCTTAGGCGCTAGACTTGCTTTTGATTATTCATCAAGTTTATAGTTGCCGTTTTTCTGCTGACAATACAAATTGACTTGTGACAATAAAAACGCCACAGTATCCTTCGATATTTACTTTTGTTTATTCATATTATTTGATGATAATGCGGGTGAATTATTACAATATTTCTTAAAGTGGTGCATTTGCTTGCTCCACCACAGGCGACGGGGCAGGTGTGGGAAAAGGTCGCACCATTGCCGGAATATTATATGAAAATTATTTACGACATCGTAAGAAGGCCATTTGGCTCTCAGTTTCAAATGATTTGAAGGTCGATGCTGAACGCGATCTGCGTGACGTGGGCTTGGGAAAGATCAAGGTTCATTCCTTAAACAAGGTGAGACTGTTCGCCTTGGACTACATAAGGTCCATTCATTATTGATCCTGATGTTTATTTAACTGCTTTGTATTTCAGCCGTTGCTCTTATTCACCTATAAAGTCTAGTCGTATTAGGCGAAGTATGTTTTTTTTTCCAAAACAGATTTTCAACTATAATCCCCGTCGTTATAGCTATTCCGTAGGTAACTAGCTGTCTGATTGTTTTATGTGCAATCTACCTCACTGGAATTCGACTCATAAATAAAACTAATAAAATATATAAACATAAAGTAAGATTTCATTTAGCATTATATATTTTTATGGACACTTGAAAAAGATGATACAGACTTCATAGATGACATCTAATTATCATTTTTCAAGGCATCCATGTACTCAACATCCTCAAGTATATTTAACAACAACAAAGAAAAAACAGATTTGTTTGTGTTCACAAACGGTGTGTACTAACTTTCGTGATGACATTTTAGAATAATAATTTCTCTGGTTATTTTCTCATAATCACATAAGTGGTTATAATGTTGTTTCCATATGCTTGTAACAACAGTCTTGTATATAAATAGAAATTATCACATTCAATCCGTTTTCAATATCATTTCAATGTAGTTTCTTCATCATAAAATTCAATGATTACCTTAGAGATATAGTTTTTGTTTTTTCTGAATTCATTAGTAACATCATTAACAATATTCCACACTTCTATGTTTCTTTCTTCCTTTTTCTTCTTTTTTTTTCTTCTTCTTCCACTATTCAGTTTAAATATGCTCGTATTTCTGGTAAAACTAATGGACGTGTAAAAAAAGGTGTTATTTTTTCTACTTATTCTTCATTGATTGGTGAAAGTCAAGGTAGTGCAAAAGCAAAATATAAAACTCGATTAAAACAACTTGTTCATTGGTGTGGGAAAAAATTCGATGGTGTTGTAAGTCAGTAATTAGTATTTTTATTATTTTTTTCTCTCTTCATTTTTTCTAATGTATATTGTTGAGCTAGTTTTTTCCTCTTCACTTTGACCTTTATTATCCTCATAAATACAATTGGATTATCTTTGTTACTATGTGACTTGATTGAAACAAGATTGAAATTTAGTTGACAAATCTCATTCCATCTTTTCATATTGGATGTAACTTGTTTTTTCATATTTTACTAATTGTTACAGGGAAAATGATATGGATCTAGGAGGGGGATCTATGCTAAGCGCTTTTATATGTTACTATGGAGGGTTAATATTCTTGGCATTTAGAGTAAAAGTGATTATGCTGACTGTATTATTCTTCATTTGCTTACAAACGTTGACGTTTAACTGATATCAAACGATTTAAACAACTGGTTGATCTTTTAAAAATTTTCCTAACTTCAGTATTCACTTTATTTTTTAAAGATAGCTGTCTGAAATAAACTTTCATCGATATTTCTATGAATGAAACAATTTACTGAAAACTTTCTAACCAGTCGTACAATCTCATAGTCATCGCCAGTTTGTATTAACTGTACTGTAAAATGTTTTGCTAAGTTTTAACTTATCTAGCTATTTAAAATAAAGTTTTTAGCTAGATATTGATTGGTTTAAAGCATGTTTCATTTAGGATTATGTTGAAGCACGCTGCTTACCCCATTTTTAACGAACCAGCGCCATTGGGTAAATAGGGAAGACTTTAGAATCTTCTTGTGTAAAAATTAAAAAAATGTAATAACGTTTTATTCATTGTAATTCACATTTATTTTGGAATATGATTATCCTACTGTCCAAGACGTATCCTGATTTGATGAGAAGTTGAATGGAGTAATGTCCGTAAAATACTAGGCATTAGATTTATCGATTTAGATAACAAGGACTTAACAAAAGTATAGTACATACAGTTGCTAAATAACGTAAGAAATATTTCAGCAAAGATGGATAGTGGCTAGCAGTGGAATGCAGGACACGCGTTTCGTCCTATTTGGGACTCGTCAGCTGGGTGTACCTGCTTAAAAAGCTTGTGACTTAAGGCTATATCGAGGCAGTCTGCACAGGATGCACATATACCAACATGAGACTGATTGATTACAGTCCTAAATAACAATGGGAAGATACAAGTAAAACAACACCAAGTGAATTTAACGTAGGAAATTCTTTGAAATATGAACATGTTTTGAAAAAGTGCTCATATGTAAAGATTTTCTGATCTTTAAGCCATCATTCTTTGTCTAGTCAACTAGTCATTTGATTCTGGTAGCATTCCAAATCCTTTCATAGGCAGGCGGTTACAATTTCTAGTGATCATACAAAATATTGTACCTTTATAGGATTTCCTGTGCGAAATATATATATACTAACACCTTTTTCTTTTCATCGTTCTAAATTCAATGTTACTTTCCAATAATAATTTTACTTTCCACACAGATTGTGTTTGACGAATGTCATCGAGCTAAAAATTTAACTCCTAGTGGTTCTCAAAAACCTACAAAAACCGGTCTAACTGTACTTGAATTACAAAACAAACTACCAAATGCTCGGATTGTTTATGCCAGTGCAACAGGTGCCACTGAACCTCGTAACATGGCTTATATGACGCGTCTGGGACTGTGGGGTGATGGGACGCCATTTAAAACATTTAATTCATTCATCCAAACACTTGAGCGACGGGGTGTTGGTGCTATGGAATTGGTTGCTATGGACATGAAACTACGTGGAATGTATATTGCACGGCAGCTCAGTTTTCATGGTGTGAATTTCAGCATTAATGAAGTACTAATAGAGAACGTCAAATTAGGCCATGAAAGCTTTATTCATGTATATAATCAGTCAACTGACCTGGTTAGTGTTCCTTAACTCTATCATCTCATCACGATCAGTATATTCTCATGATTAATACATAATTTGTTTAACAAATATATATATTAATATTCTGTTTGACATATGGCGTACATTAATCACTATAGATGTTATGTCCGGTCGTTTATTTTTTAGAAACACGTGTAACTGATCAGTTTAAGTAGCGACTCGGAAAGTGGAACACATTTCTTTAGGTGGGTGTTTTATTATTCCGGTTAAGCGAACAGATAATGGTGACCGTCTGCTGCAACTGTTCTCAGACAAGCATAAGGAAAAACATCGTCTAACATGGCAACCCCCTGCACCAAACCAACGATGTACTCAAATAGACCGCATTGCCATCATTCACCATTTGAAAGACTTAATAGAAGACTGTCACTCGTTTTGGAATATATGTCTAGACTCTGATCATGCTCTAGTACGAGCACTCATTTGTTTGTGTCTCACTGAACGCAGAAAAAAGTCACTCAAAAAACCCACTTAAGTTGAACTCAGCGATGAGAAAACCAAAGATAAATTCTAGAAACAACTGAAGTCACAATTAGGCGATTTTGAAAACGAGGCTGATCCAGATGTTTCTTGGGATGATATACAGACAGCTATGGAAACAACAGCGACATTTACTAGTGATTTAAACCAAAGGGTTACGAAAAACCAGTGGATTTCTACTAATTCTATTGCACTAATTGATTCTCATAAACTTATCCCATTAGGCCTTGAATACGATAAAGAGCGTAAACAAATCAGATCCAGGATAACTAAAAGTCTAAGGAACGATCGTGAGCAGTGGTGGTCAACAAAAGCAAAAGAGATGGAAAAGTCAACGGCTGTGGGTAACACCAGACAGGTTTTGAGACTAATAAAAGAAACTCGAATTAAAATGTCAAATGTATCTCGGAAAAAGACCACACTCTTATCTGTTCCCAGCCCAGACGTTCCGAACGACAGGCGAAACTTTACGGAGCATTTCAGCTGACCGTCAGCTACCCACCATTTCCAAATAGCCTGAACGAAATTTTGAAATAGTCCGCTTCTGACTCTAATCAAAGTTTATAAGTCTATAGCTAATCCATATGTATTAGCTTCATAGGTTTTTAAGGATGGTGGCCTAGTTTTAGCGATAAGGTTAACTAATATTTTACCTAAAATATGGGGGTTGGACGTAATCCCGTCTGACTGGTCGTAATGACTTATTGTCCCAATATATAAGAAGAGGTCAAGATCACCCAGTGACACCCATAGTGGGATTAATTCAACTAACATAGCATCTAAAATGCTAACCTCAATAATTATCGGGCGCTTTACAAAAACCCACGGACTGGAAACACGCGAAAATCAGGCTGGCTTCAGACCTGGTCGTGGCTACATCGACCACATATTCACAATTCGTGGTGGTGGTCCTCCTTGACTTCAATACAGCATTTGACTCTGTAGACCGGGAGGTTCTGTGGCAGTATCTATCATTGAGTGGTGTATCTCAAAAGTACACAAACCTTGTGAAGGCTCTTTACTCAAACACTACCAGTCGGGTCAGAGTTTATTGCGAACTGCCATCTAAATTTGCAACCTCAAGTGGTGTCCGGCAAGTCTGATCACCATCTCCATCTTTATTTAATTTCATCATTGACCTACTGCTGGGAATCCGTTCATCACTAAACTTACCATAGTCACGTAAACATTAGATACGTCGATCTACAAATGTTATAACCTGTTTTTTGTTTAGTTTATTGTTAATAATGTTATTAAATGCTGTTACTTTTTTTCTCATAAATTATTTAGTGGGTGTATGCATATCGCTTCTTCTCAGAAGCGTCGCGTTTATTAGATCTAAGTGATCGTTATCGTAAAACTATGTGGGGACAGTTTTGGTCTGCTCACCAACGATTCTTCAAGTATCTTTGCATTGCTGCCAAAGTGGAAAAATGTGTTGAAATTGCTAAAACTGCTGTTGATGAGGGTAAAGTAAGTGGGTATTTGTTTTCCTTCTTTGTTTGCCGAATTATGCTACCTAAATTAACTTAGAGTATTACTGGAATCTTACATATTGTGTTTATTTTGAATTTGTTTGTGATCATGTGTTTATTGTTTATTTATTTTCGAAGAAAAAATAATTACCATCGTTAATGGGATGTTTTATTATTACTTAAAATTAGACGAACCTGGATGACATGTCTCCAAATCGTTTGCAATAACGCATGTGCATCCACCATTTGTGTTCTCCCAAATTTTAATCTTCTGAATTCTTCATGTCCCTTTCTTATTTTCTCTTTGCAAATTTATTTCACTGGATTATACTCCTTGAATAATATTTTCAAACTCTAATCTTTCAGATTACTGCTTATACTTTTACTACCTCTACCACTACGGGATTTGAATGGACATTAGTATCTCTGTGCTAATGTGATGTGGCAACTCGAACTGATGTACGTACGTACGAAGTTCTACGCTGTTACTGACTGATTGGGGGTATTGTGCTAAGATTTAATTGAACAGTATTTCTCAGATTTTAAGAGATGCGACATAAAGTGTGCTAAATACACAGTTGTTAAATTTTACATGATTAGCTGCTTTCTCATTATTATTCACTGTAGATGTCAAGGGTAAAAACAATTCAATGATAACTCAAACAAATTCACTCATAGTATTGTCTACTTATCGTCTTTTTGAACTTCTATATATTTGTTCATTTTGTACTGTTTGTTTAAATCTTCTCATTGATGTTCAGGACTGCAAATGATCAATCTATTATTAGCATATGTGCATACCGTGCGTCTTGCCTCGATATTGCCAAGTATTATAAGCAAAAAGGGATGGTGGCTAGCAGTCGAATCCAAGACGTGCTGACATTTCGTCCTATTTAAGACTTGTCAGCTGAATGTACCTGAATCTCAGAGTAAACATTATTATTACTAGTGGCTGTGCTACTTTGTTATCTCAACTTCAACCAGCGCACATATGTGCCATGTTCTAGATTACTCAAGACTGTCTAGCTAAATATTTTGGAGGCATTGTCAACTTGTCTGTATGTGTTTATTTTTTGGTAGAATTGGTCATCAAAAAAGTATTTATCATACAAATAAAGAGTTTATGTTCTGAAGAAGTAAAGGAGGTAGCAGCAATCAATAAATTAAATACATGAACAATGATAATGTATAACGCAAGCTGCACTTCAAATAATAATTCAACTTCCAAAGGAAGATGCTATTACTTTTATGACTAATATAAGAGGAAATTACTGCAAGATCTGCACCACCTTCTATTCTGAACTATATCTGATAAAATATCAAGCCAGTGAGTTGCCCCATCTCTACAACTCTGACCAGGCGATTGTGTCGGACCGACTGATGACAGTCCTATATAGCTCACTTTCTCATCACACCACGTTACCATATTATAAACTGATCACCTCCACATTTTCCACTCCATCTCAGTACAGGTAAATATTGCGTGATGTGGAAGCCACTTGGATGACTTATGTGACACATGTCCAGCTCACCGAAGCCGTTGTTTCGAGTTGGTAACGTTAATTAATTTGTCTTCACTGAAACTGAACACATATTGCCAAACCTCAGAGTAGTTGATAAGTGTTGCCACTGAATGTCAGTAATCATTCGGAGACAACGGTGATAGAACAGAGAGTTGTTGAACGTCCTCACCTCGAGGCCAGGTTTCGCAGGCACTGGGCGAAATCACTCTAGTTGACTGACTGACTGATTGAACTAACGCGGCGTTGCAAACTCGACAGTTTACACCCAGACCAACATCACGATGGTCCTAAGGATTGTCCAGATTGGCGCAAGTCTATCTGGCTCTCACTATATGTTAATTAGTCTCATAATTCACATCATTAGCACCTACAACTATCCGAACACAGGACATTGTCGACTACTTCTGGCAGATCATCACAGAGAGTGAGTGACAACACAGGTCCTCATTACTTCCTAGGAGTTCACTTTTTTGAACTTAGGTTCGACGACATATTCGGTTGCTGAGTCAATTTTTTATGTGCAATGAGAGACACACTACGCATTAATTTTGTCCATACATATCAGGAATAAATCCCGTGTTACTGTGGGAGTAATATAATGACTAAGCAACCAGTCATTGCCAGTGGCTATTAGTAATTCATTTCCTTTAGTATTTGATATTTTACGTTGATTGTGTAATATAATCGTTTATGTTTACCATTTTTAATGTAATCTGATCTGACTTGTGATCTGTTTTTTCTATGACCCTTTGAGATACCGTAAGTGCTGATTATAAATCATATCTCTGTTTCTATTATCAGTGTGTTGTCATTGGTCTTCAGTCTACTGGTGAGGCCAAAACTCTAGAACAAGTTGAAGAATATGGTTTAGATTTAGGTGAATTCGTCTCAACTGCTAAGTAAGTTAACCTAAACTTAGACTTCAATATATCCATAATACATTTTTCGGTAACTGCCACTTCGTTACATGATTTACATTTGGGCTCTATTACATTTTCAAGCAATAAATATTATTTAGGTAATTATTTTTAGTTTACTTTCTAGGAATATTTTTGTAGGTATTGTTGTAGGCTGAAGTATTTTACGTCGTTACAAAGGGGATTTATGGAATAATAAAGGTTAAGTTAACAATATCTCGCTTGATACATCTAAAAATCTATGGTCTTTTTCAGAACTGTGTAGCTTACTACACGCATAGAACCAATAAGCCACTTAGTGTGAAACATGAAATATGTGGGTGATATTATCTATATTTTTAAATCAATGTTCATCATTGTTAAAATCATATTTATTTAAAATTCTTTTTCTTTACAGGGGCGTGTTCCAGTGTCTGGTTGAAAAGTATTTTCCAACACCAACAAATGTTGATAATTTCTCTCTTCGAGGCGATAAACTAGCATCGGCAGGTGATCGCAGCTCTAATACAACTCTCAATAGAGCAGGACGCGCAATAGCTGCTGGTCAAGGAAGTGGTCTTGGTTTGAAAGATATTTTGGGTGAAAAAATGCTTGCGAAGCTAGTTGCTGGTGGTAGTTTATCTGGATCGAAATTGAATGATGATTATGAAAATTCCAGTAAAGTTGACGGTGTAGGATCTGATTCTGATGACGATGATGGTAATGAACATTCTGATGAGTCAGATGATGATGATTCTGATTTGAATAATCCTCAAAAAGCTAATGGCTGTAACCTATCAGATGGAAATTCATCATCTGATTATTACGATTCCGACCTGGAAGTGAATTCACCAAACAACAATTCCAGTCGAAATAGATCAAAAAAGTCGAATTCTTCTAAAAAGCAGTCTCATTCTGGCAAACGTAAACAAAAGTATAACCGAGCTGGTGGTTCACCGAATTGCTTGTCAGATGATTCGGACGAAGATTGGGATCCGGACGCGTTATTTGACAGCTTTCTAGCTCGCAACATGACTCTGTCCAATTCGACCACTAACAGTGATATAACCAAGCGATTCGATGACAGCAAGCACTTTGGAGATGATATTTGGGGTGATGAGTTGACTCGTAAATTATCACAACAGTATCTTATGGGTCGCGGTTCAGGTGCAGCTAATCAGTCGCTGATTGCTAACAATGAACTGAAGGTCTCTCCCGAAGAAGCTAAACGGCAATGTACTGAAATGCAAAGTTTACTTTTGCGTTTCATTGAAAAGCTTGGTCCAAAGTTGCCTCCCAGCTCCCTTGATGAGTTGATTGACAAATTGGGTGGACCCTCACGGGTTGCTGAGATGACAGGTAGAAAGGGTCGTATGGTGATGGGGGATGATGGCCGCGTTTCTTATGAATCTCGTCGTGAAAGTGATGTCAATTTAGAACTACTTAATCTTACAGAAAAACAACGCTTCATGAATGGTGAGAAACTCATTGCTATTATCTCTGAGGCAGCCAGTAGTGGTATCTCTCTTCAGGCGGACCGAAGGGCATCTAATCAACGCCGACGTGTTCACATTACATTGGAACTTCCGTGGAGTGCAGATCGCGCAGTTCAACAATTCGGTCGTACACACCGATCCAACCAGGTTAGCGCTCCAAAATATATCTTTCTGATTTCCAATTTGGCTGGTGAGCAGCGTTTCGCCTCTACAGTTGCTAAACGTTTGGAGTCTCTTGGTGCTCTGACACATGGTGATAGACGAGCTACAGAAACACGTGATTTGTCTCAGTTCAATCTCGATACTAAACTCGGACGAGAAGCTTTAGAGTTAGTATTACGTGCTTGTATTTGGGGCGATGAGGGCATAGTTGATCCTCCAAACGACTATATAACTGACACGCCTTTTGACGTTACTGTCGATCGGGACAATTTAAATGCTCAGTCTTTTTTTAACGATGTTAAAGCAAGTTTACAGGGTGTAGGTTTGGCTACTGGTCGATGTCGTGAAAAGGATAGTAATCAAATGTCTAAATTTTTGAACCGCATTTTAGGTATACGTGTTCATATTCAAAATGCACTCTTTCAATACTTTTCGGACACATTAGAAGAAGTTACCAGACGTGCTAAACGTGATAATCGTCTGGATCTCGGAATTTTGGATCTTGGTACTTCTGGTCAGAATTTGGAAATAACATGGACCAAAAGTTTTGATACGTGGTTTTTATCAGAATCTACTCAAGTTCATTTACACAAAGTAACTGCTGAACGCGGATTACCATGGTCGGGTGCTATGGAAATATACACTCAGCATGATGGTGTAAATGACGGTTTTTATTTGCCCTCGGTTATTAGTAACAATAAAATTGTTATACCTGTTCTAGCTGTTTATGTGAAAACTCGTACTACGCGATCGACCAGTAAATCCGATTCGAAATTATATCGTATCTATCGACCAAATACTGGTATGCAGGCACGACCAATTGAACTCGAAAAGTTACAGGAACGATATACTCGCGTTTCTAATCCTTCAGATTGTCAAGAGCCTTGGAGCCGGATATTTAAAGAAAGTGCTAGACGTTGCATTCATATGTTACTTCATGGGTTTTGTTCATCAACTATCCAAAGTCGAACATTATGTGAAGTCGGTTTACGAACGCGTAATTACTATGTTCTTAGCGGGTCAGTGTTAAATGTATGGGCTAGAATTGAACCTTTTCTTCAGCTGCGTTCAAATTCTACTCGTTGTATGCAAGTTGTACGTCTCAAGTCAAAGGATGGGAAACGTATTATTGGATCCCTTATCCCTCAAGAATGCGTCCAGGATGTTTTGGCTTGCTTGTCACTACCTCCTGAAACAGAGCACACATCTTCTAGTGATAACTTGGATAAAAAGTGTGGTTTGCCTCACATGGAAGAATCTTCAGGAATTTCAAATAATTTTAATTTATCACCTCATATTCCAAACGTTCCTTGGCCTAGAGGTCAAACATTCAGTGTAAACCCAACTCAGCAATCTAGATTATACAGTGGTCGTCCACCTTCATTTATAAATCAACGACCCAGTAATATTATACGAAGAAAGATCCCACCTCATAATCCTGGAAATACGTACCGTGGTTCACTGTTTACTCAGAGTTCATCTGAACAACGTCGTTTTGGCACACTACGAGAAACTTTAACCACTGATTTAAGTTATATACCAAGTCATTCCAATGGTTATCTATCCACTACATTATCACAATCTCATGTATCCAATTCTTCTAAAGGTATGAGTTCAATGTACTCGAACACTTCTATACACAATTTTGGATCTACTCGTTTAAATTCTAATACAAAAATGGGTAGTCGATTAAATGCTGCTCTATCATTACCATTACTCTCTGATAATCCTAATATTCAATATCAAACATCATGTTGTAGTAGTAGTAGTAGTAGTACTACTACTACTACTACTAGTAGTAGTAATACTAATTATTCTTCCACATTAACTAATCGTATCAATGATATACCATTATCTAATATTTCATCTGTTAATAATAATAATAATACAATTATTCCTTCTAATTTCTCAACGAATACAATGAATAATGTTAAGAACCCTTCAAATAAAGTGACACGTTTCAAAATAAAATGGAAAGATGGTTAAAGAGTATATTCCATGATTATGATAGTCTTTCTATTATTACTTTGTAAAGTCAATCTCTATTTGCACTTTCTTACTTACCCTTTTAAGAGATACAGAGAGAAAGAGAGAGGAGTATATTGATTATGATAATGAATTTATCATATAAAACTAAAGATTTTCTTTCTTTTTTCTTTTTCTCTTTTTTTCATCATTTAGTTTATTGAATTATTTTTCTACTAAACATTTCACTGGTGTCAATAATTAATTTTTAGATAATAATTTTGTGTAAAAAAAAGAGGGAAAAAAGGATTATTCCTTCTTTCATCACATGAATTCAATTGTCATGTGTGTTCTGTATAATGAATCAATCTATGATGTAATCATATCTCCCTTCTTCTTCTTCGTCGTTGTTGTTGTTGTTGTTGTTTTCTTCTTACTTACTTATATACTTACGCCTGTTACTTTCAATAGAGTATAGTCAGTCAGTCCATTGACTAATATTCTTCAACCCTATTCATATTGTTCTGGATCATTTTTCTTTCTTCCTTCCTTATTCTATCCCAATAGTTGTTTATTTCTTTTTGTTCATAACAGTTTTATTTGTATATAGTCCATTTTTTCCTTATAAAAAGAAGAAAAAGAAAAAAGGTTTGTCAAATGTGAAGATATTTGATGTTCTATTTTTGTTGTTGTTGCTGACTACCTCTTTGAAAAGACATGATAGTTACTGTATGTTTGAATTGTGAACAATCATTTCTTGCTTTCTTTCTTGTCTTTTCAATCTTTGATTTCTCTTAGTTTATTATTGCATCTATCTGAATGAACTTTTGTTGTTCTTCTCTTTTCTATTCCTAACCAATTGAACTTAGTCGGTATTCTGTTTATGGTACTTGTAGAAGATATAATCAATTTGTATTTGTTTCTTATTTCAGATGAATAAAAACAATAAATATCTTTCTATAATAGTTACAAATGAGTAATATTAGTTCTTGACGAATGTTCTTGACATTCTTTGTTATTTAATTATCAGTTGAAGTTAGACATTAACATCGTTGGATGCTGACTCAATGGTCTAGTGGTTAAGCGCTCGCGCGCGCGCGTGAGACTGATAAATTCTGGGTTCGAATCTCGCAGGATCATGGATGCGCACTGCTGAGGGGTCCCGAATTAGGACGAAAGGGCCGTCCAGGTTTTATATGGTCGTCTAGCTTTACTTGACTCATGATCTTAACCATTGAAATTACTATAATATCCGCAAAACCCCTTCTGATATTTATTTATTTATTTAAACATAAATGTTGGTACACGAAGGCACTAAATAGGTATGCGCCACATGAATCATTCGATTTATGTAAGGGCTAGGATACTGCCTGGGTGCTCAAACAGAAGCAGGTGGTTTACTTAAGGGGCCACATCCGGACCCTTCGATCTAAAGGTCTAATCCACAAGATAGTGGAGCGACGTTAGGCGATGTAGTCCCATGGTAGCCGGTGACCAATAATTGGTTCATACGCCATTTGTTCCTTCACGATCCTGGAGCCCATGTACACCATTGGTTTGGAATGAAGGTCTTCCAACTCCCCTGGGTGGATCCTCCGTGTTCACTAACCCATTTATTCACTATTCGTCTTCTCAGTTTCGTAAACAATACTCCCGTCACGAGAAGGCAGTGAGTAGGATTTCTACGGCAGTGGTTGTATGCATGTGAGATCATTTCGAGAGGGGGAGTTGACTTCCCCCACTCAGTCGTACCAGGGCATTTGAGGGCCATGTAGAACTGGTTTAAGTTTCTAAATGCGACGACTAAGCAAAACAAAATCTTAGTCATTTTTAGTAAAAATCTAAGTTCAATAATTCTCACTTCTCATGTTAATTCTGTGTTCATCGCACTCGTTAAATATTTTACTAGCTTTATCTTGTATCCTGGATTTGACTTTAACATTGCATACTGAGTTGTCTCAACGTGCACGAGCAACGCCTCGCAGACACCTGTGGTCGAATACTAACAGCTAACAAATCTATTTGTGAAGCTCACTTTTTACTAAACGGGTTGCTGAGTGGTAGATTCATCCTACAACTGGGGTGTATCTCGTTTATGCCATAATTGGGCAAAGGTCAAATAATCTCTGAATCCACCAGGCCTGATGGGACTATAGGCCCTCGATCTGGCTCTATAACTAGTAACAATCAATGTACCATAATATTGGGATTTTACACTTAACTCCTCATATCACTTAGGCTAACCCACTTTAGGCGACATTATTAAGAAGAATCCGAATACAAATTATATTGAGAAGATTTATTACAAGCAAGGTGAGAAGTGAAACGGAAAAGGTAAATGTATCAGGTCTACTTAGCTATGATGTGGCTTATAGCCATGAATGATACAAGTGGGTATTTGGACATATATGATTGTGACAAAATGACTTGGAAGATTAAAATACTTATCTGTTGAAGAATGAGGATGGGTTGTGTTAAGCGTGTAACAATCCTAGTTGCTACGTGATACATGAATTAACCGCTATCTGTCATTAGATCGGGCTTTGATCATGACTAGTTCTGCGGCGGAATTCCACATTTAGAGTGAAGTTAAAGTTTGTTCTTTCTTGCTTGCGATCTGCTCTACTCTGGAAACATATCAAGTTAGCTTGCTTTTTTGCAGTTAGTCATACTCAACTTGGAACCTGGTTCAAGTGAGCTCATGGGAGGCATACAATATCCAAACGTAGTCAACATGGTGAAGGCTAGAGATTTTGTGAAATAAATAAATTTATTGGTCTCTGTAACGTTTTTATATATAGTATTGGTCGGTGTTAAATCACCTAATTACCGTCAAGTAACTGTAATTGTAGCTCATTTATGATAAAGGGACGTCCAAAACAGATAAATTAGTCACCATGCTTAACTACCTCACTCTCTACCATTAGTCTATATGTTGATACCGAGTAGTTTTGAAGCACATTTCGTTTTAAAAGGAGAAAAACGTCACAAACTTGTAGAAATTGTTAACCAAGATAGTCAAAAGATTACATTTTGTTAGCACCGATTAGTCTGAAAGTTATATCTTTAAAAGAATATCCGTCACCATACTAAATAAATATAGTGACAAACAACTCTGACTAATGCAACATAAGGTTGATTGTCCACCATAAGCTTTCACCAGATCGATAGTCTTTGGAGGTGTAATTGTCGGTCTAAGCTGCTTTCGTTTTTCATCGTGTTCTGATCCTGATAGCATATGTTTCTGAGCATTTATCAATTCATTAAGCTTTTTGAAGTCACGGGTAAATATTACGGCCTATTATTCAGATATTTGGAATATCATACCAAACTATTTCGGAGTCAATACTTTCATGGCATAGTTATTCTTTTCCTGAAGTACCTACTTGATCGTTCTATCAAATCTAAGGGATTTATTTAATTATATACCTAAGTAAACGAAAGATAGCAGTCAAATTTTAGGTATTCTTTGCGTTGATCACCCTGATCTGTAGTATTGTCAAGGTAAAGTCAACTGAGTGTTCGTACTTGGTTGCTGTATACGTGCTTGGGAAATGCAACACAGATTGGTGCTATGAGACGTTTCGCTGATCATGATCGTCGCTCTATTTGATCTGGTATTTAGATGTTGAATATTCCGGTATCACAGCTTCAAGCGCGATCTCAAGGGACATTGGATGGCATTTCGGGAACTTAGATCGTTAACACTAATAAGACATGGAAGTAGGCAGAGACTCTTGATGAAAATAGAAAAGATGCTCGGAAGTTATGATGAGATCAGACAGTAACTTTGTTTGATTGCTATTAAAGGTGTACGAACGATTGTCCAGACTGGGGGGCACTTCTTGATAATCATGAAGACTAAATTGGATTGTGACTTCACAGCTAAACAATAACTGCTTAAGGCCGGCTATACACTGCCCTTTTTTGAGTAGTTTTAACTCTGTTAGCAACGAGAAAGATGGTTATAAAAAATGAGACGTTCGGTTTTCAGGGTTGACCTTTTGTATCCTCATTCTGTTGTGAGAAATTAGTACTGGAGGCTGGCTATATGGAGGATTACAGTATATTTAAGTCATGGATTCGATGATCGCTGAGCATAAATTCTCACTTACCTACTTTCATTTGTAGGTTACAATATGTCACTAGGATCGATATGGTTTATGAAGCCAAATAAACAGCTATTATTACAATTATATTGAAATTCTGGTTAATATAACATGCATGGATGATAATGATGAATTTAAAGTTATTTTTCTTAATATCAGAAAGGGGCTTTTGTGGACATAATAGTAATTTAATGGATGAGATCATCAGTCAATTGATACTAGATCACAATGGAAAACCTGGAGGTACTGGATAGCCGTTTCGTCCCCTTGTGGGATTCCTTAACAATGCGTATCCACGATCCCGCCCCGCGGGACTCGAAACAAGGACCTTTTTCTTAATTAAGTTTATTCTTTCATATTTGTACAGTATCTGATATTTTTATGTACGATAATTAGACTATAAATGTCAATTCCCTAATATGGAAACTATGGAGACTGATTATTTTGCCTAGTACGATAGTTGATAGTTAACTGGCAAGGCTATTCAGAACATAAAGTCCAACGTCTATGAAAAAATCCTTGAACTTGTAATAATACTAATACAATTTTACAAATTGAATAAACCGGTTAACAGATAATAACTACAGAATTCACAAGAGTGTAATTAATTTTGTTGATTACAATGCATTATACTTTGTAAACTCACAGTTCGAAATCATTTGATTTGTGTGACGGCTGGGATTCTAACCGGGTGCCCAAACCGAAGAAGGTGACTTTCATAAGGAGTTACACCCCCAGCCTTTAACCTAGAGGTTTAATCCACAAGACAGTGAAGCAACATTAGAAGATACAGTCCCATGGTAGCCGGTGACCAACAATTGGTTCATACGCCTTTTATTCTTTCAGGATCCGGGAGCCTATGTTCACTATTAGTTTGGAATCAGGGTTTTGAAACCCTCATATGTGGATCGTCCGTGTCCACCAACCTGATTAAACTGGCATATATTCGCTTTTCATCCTCTCAACTTTGTATACAACACCTCCGTCACGAGAAGGCAGTGATTAGGACTTCCCTAACAGTGGTTATATACACGTGTTCATGTTAAAGTATTTCGATAGGGAGAGCAGAATCTCTCCATCTTTGATCGTACCAGGTCATTTGGATGTGGTTTTAAAACATATAATATTTAATCTATTACTGAGATGTCATTTCAGTAATAATAATAATGAACTAATAAATTACTATTCTTTTAAAACTGGTTATAAGTAATATAAAGTTCCACAGGTTGAAATCATGAGTCAGTTGAAGCTAGACCACCATTGAAAACCTGGAAGCACTGGACGGCCGTTTCGTCCCGATATGGGACTCCTCAACAGTGCGCATCCACGATCCCGCACCACGCGGGGCTCGAACCCAGGACTGCTGAGGAGTCCCGTACCAGGACGAAACGGCCGTCCAGTGCTTCTAGGTTTTCAATGGTGGTCTAGCTTCAACTGACTCATGATTTCAACCTGTGAAATTTCTAAAACTCTCCATAAAACACATTCTGATAATATAAAGTTTATATAATCAATATCACTTAACTAATGTCTATCTATATTTTTAACTGCTCAACATTATTATTGCCATCAAGAGAGTTATGTTGAATTCAATTATATCACATTCTTAGTATAGGGGTTGTGGAGATTATTATGTTTTTGATTGAGATCATGAATCGATTAATGTTAGATCACCGTTGGAAACCTGGAAGCACTGGAAGGCCGTTTCGTCCTATTATGGGAATCCTCAACAATGCGCATCTACATTCTATATTTGAGTTCATGAGTCCACTAAAGCTAGACCATCATGGAAAAATTGGAAGCATTGGACGACGGTTTCATCCTAGTGTAGAATATTCATTTACTGCTTACATTGATTAAGACCATTAGATATACACAGGGACTTGTGGAATATTCTTGATATATCTACGTATATAAAAGATACGTTGTCTTTCTTTTGAGGTTTTCATCCTTTCTCCATAGTTCTAAGAATATCAGTTCGCATTCTTATTGGATAGGTCATTAAAACTTATAACTCCTCAGTGTTGAAACAGTTATTTGACTAAACTTCTAAATGCTTGTAATGTTAAACATAATGAATATGAATAGAAGATAAATGATGAATATTTTGAAGGCAATAAATGTTTTATAACTAATAGTCATGTCAAATATCAGGTGACAAAATCAACAGTTAGAATGCTGATTTCTATAACCTTATCTCTGAACTAACCAATAATATGTCAACCAACACTAGTGGCCTTAAGTCAACTCTAAATCCTTATTGATCCTCAAAATAGTGGCTTCTCTCTTTGCCCTGTTCGTCGTGCCCAAAACAAATTCATCAGCCGGCACTGTATAGAAAGCATATCTTAAACATATACGTTGTTTATATACAAGCAGACTAGACCGCATCAAGCCAAAATTATCTGTGATTAGGGGAGACTGTACCTAATAGATTGGGAATAAATTAAGAACAAGAGTTGATGAGTCAAACGAAAGCTAATGATAAAGGGAAATATGGACTATACATATAATCTAGCTACTTAATAATTTTTGATTGACATCATGAATCCATTGATCTTAGACCATCATAGAGAACCCGTAAGCACTGGATAGTTGTTTCCTCCTAGTGCGAGACTCCTCAGCAGTGTTCATCCACGATCACGTCCTTCAAGATTCGAACCCATGACCTTTGGTCTCACGCGCGAACACTGCACATTTAGACCACTGAGTTGGCCGGCGTCCAACAGTGTTAATGTCTAACTTCAACCAATCCACGAAATTGCGCGACCATCATCCAGTAGGTTAATCGTTCGCGCGCGAGACTGAAGGCCCTAGGTTTGAATCTCGCGAGCGGGATCATGAATGCACACTATTGAGGAGTCCCACAATAGGACGAAACGGTCTTCCAGTGCTTCCAGGTTTTCAATGGTGGTCTAACATCAATCGGTTCGTGATCTCAATCAAAAACTTAACAATCTTCACAACCCCTAAACTGATGACAAAATAGTTTGTAAAATTATTTTTCATGACCTCAGTTTATCTACCCCATAGTATAAATATGAAGTTTGTTCCTTTCAATCATCATTCTAAAGTATTTAAAGATTTTCAGCTGTAAATTGTTTCAGGTTAAATAATCAAATGGTTATTGCTTTGGTTTACTAAAGGCGAGGCTAATAATTTATGGACGAATCAATCAGGTTAAAGAAAACAGGTCTTGGATTTTGGCGCGAAATTCACTCGTCCATTTGGCTAAATAGCGTCGTGCCATTTTAGATGATGTCAGTTCGTGATGAAAACTATAAATCTAATTTCTAACCTTATTCATAAACTGTAAATCATAAGTCGAATTCCTTACAATGGTTTATAACCTTCATTTGGTCCTAGTTATTAGGTGTACACTCTAAAGGTCAGCCTAGCGTCGTTCAAATGTCATCCATAAATTATAATCTCATCAAATATATTTGTGATGGAAAAGAAGGAAGCTGATCCGTACAATTTGTTCAACACTATATGATACAAGCTAAAAGCATTACTTGCTAACTCTTCAGTATTAGAAGAGCCTATTTTTAGTACCTGAAGTACCGTATGGTTAACTAGTAATGAATTTTGAGTCGTTGGGTTTAGCATGATTTGTCTGAGTACAATAAATGAATGTTTAAAGGAGTTAATCACTGGATGGGTATTGTTATAACTTGTGGCTTTGTGTCCTATTAACGTATAACGTCATGATGCCACCAATTAGAGAACAGTGATTTATCGACAGGACTAATGACGCATAAAACCCATACGAGCAGTTTAGAGTACTTATCGGTCATTCTTCCCGCCTAACCCTGCCCGCCAGTGACGGGGAATTAGATGCAGAAGAAGAAGATGATTCTTACTGTAAAGAAAATAATCATATTGAAAAAAATTCTGAAAATCAAATGAATGAACCTTTAGAAAAGTCACATTTACAAATGAACTCCTGTTCAATCTCCACAGGTACGATACGTTAAAAACCAAAGAAAGTCATTTCAACAGAAGCATTTCAAACATCTGTTGCTGAGCGTGAGGCTTTAGCTGCTGCAGCAAACTTAACTTTATTACCGGATGAACCTCCTAATCGACTTATTAATGTGGTAGGTCAGGCTTTACGTCATGGAAAAACAGTTGTGTATGAAGTAATGAGAACTGCTGCTAGACAGCCTGATGGCGAATTAATACCTGTTGGTGGGTTAGGGACAACTGCTAGTTCTACTAATTTGACTACTCTTCAAACCAATTCACAAATTGATGGAGACTTAAAAAATCATCAGGAAGGTAAGCGTTGTTAAATCTTTTTATCAGTCATATCTCATCCTTCAGTACAAAGCTTACTTAATCATATTTTCAATTGTATGAACGTTATAAGTCAATGAGACTAATGGATTGTTTGGGGAAAACCAAGTCAAATGACGAAGTATGATACATAATATATTTAGTTCCTCCTTATACCAATGTCAATGTGTTTAAATAAATAAATCGAATGAGGAAGGAGTATCCACTCTCATCTGTGATGTGTACGTGTGCAACAATAAAATGTCGGTTGTATTTTTATCTGAACAAGGAGATCTGAAATTATACGAATAGGTTTCTGTTGAACTGTTTCCTCTCCTGACCGCAGTTGTTGTCTTCCATACGATTGATTACTTGAGTTACCTACTGTTATCAACCATTGAAGCCGTATTGGTTTCAGCTCGTACTTGTGATTCTAAGGCTAGACAGATCTATCAATGTTATGTTCTTAACTTATACGAATGCCAAATTTAGATACGCGGACTTATACGACCAACAAATGACACATACACTTGTACTGGTCCTTTTTTTACTTACCTGTTAAGTCCAGAACACAAGTCGCAGTCTCCGCGATATGAATCGTATATTTCAAACATACTGGGCTTATATACAAGCCAAACAGACCACATCACATCATAAAGTAGAAAATAACATTTGCACAAGATCTAGCCAAAAGTGGCTGTGATTGTGGGAGACTGTAATTAATAGACTGGGCATAATACAAGAACGGTAAATCATATAACACTAGTCTATATGTCAAAATAAAGCTTATGATAAGAGGAACATGAATGTGTATAGTTAAGCTACTTAACAATTATACAATAAGAATATATGTATCCTATGGGCTCAGTAATAGATCCCAACAGTTACCATCCATTATTCTCATCAACATATAACAAGTATACTATACATACTATCATTAATTCTAGGATAATCAATTCATTGAATATTTAAAAAGAAATAAATTAATTAAATATAATAAGTTTACATGTTACTTATTTATTCTAATTATTATATTACTTATAAATCTGGGACTATAGTGTGGTGTATGCCTCTTATATCGATATAAGTAGTATAGAACTGTTATATCTCGATAAGCATAATGAATGGTCATTTTTGGGATCCATTTATGGACCAATACTATGAGCATATTTTTATCGTATAATTGTTATGTAACTAAACTGTTCATATTCAAGCTTTATTTTGACCTATGAACTATTATCATACGATCTACCATTGTTGGGTTATGCCCTGTCTATTATGTCATTGACTCCCACATTCACGGCCACATTTAGCTAAATCTTGTACAAATGTTATTTTCTATTTTATTGGTACGATATGGTCTGTCTGGTTGATATATAAACCCAGAATATTTGAAATATAATTAGTGTTCTGAACTTAACTGATTGAGTTAGGCGGGAAGCAGGACCACTCAGAACTCTAGACTGCTCGCACGGGTTTTATGCGTCGTTGGTCCGATCGATAATTCACTGCTCTCTAATTGACGGTATCGTTACGTTATACATGAACAGGGCACACAGGCCGCAAGTTATAACAATAACGCGTGTCAGGAATATATAATGTCTAGTAGCAAAAGACTGAAAAGATCAAAAAGAAAAAAAACGAGGACAGAAGGTAATTGATATGGAAATACAGAAACATTCAAGTTTGAGACGATTGTATGGTTCTTAGATTTCACTTAGGATATACTACAAGTTTGTATTAAAATACATTCGATTGTCATCGTTTGTATTCTCGTTCTCTACTATAGTATTATATTTATTCTATTCATATATACCATGATATGAATAATTCTCTCCAGTTACTGTATCTATCTACATTGTTACCCTGACTACACACTAACATACATGTATACATGTATAGATTTAAAATGTACAATGTTAAGTGTTGTGTCATTCATGAAACCCCCCCCCCTAAAAAAGGGAAAAATAATAAGATAATAAATCTGATTTATCACCACAAGATTTACGATATCACTACCCTCCCCCACCCCCACACAAAAAGAAAGAAAGTAGTAACTGTGATAAATCATTGTAACTTTCTTCACCAAATATGAATCAATAGTTATAAGTAGAAATTTATATTATCAAAACTAATTCCTTTATACTTAGAAATTTCGATCTGTTAAACAGAGAGAAAGAAAGTCAACTATCAAGATGAATTCCACAACAATGAGATGTATAGTATTCGATGATCATCTAGGAGTAGGAAAAATGTAATCTGTTCCTCATCAAACTTAGAGGTGGCCTAAGATTACTGAAGAAATAAATGAAAAAATCATAAAACTATCCAGCTTGTCTATATAAGCTAATGTGTAATAAACCTATTTAGAATGTTCAAATAAGATAATGAAATAGACAGATATCATCCTTCATTGAGAAACATTTGATTAAGACGAATCATAAGGTTGACATCAAGTCAACAATTGTAGTATTGTACAAAAGTCTTCAAAGACGACGTATACTAAGGTTTATTGAAGCCTTGGTTATACGGAAATGGAAACCCCCTTTATGTGTTCAAAAACAATTTGTCCGTACACTTAACCTACCCTGGTAGTACTGATTTACTGTCCAGAGTGGTAATCACATTTGTTTTTGTGTACTTTAATATTTTTCCTTTGTTATGACTTACCCTTAACCTGTTTAGTTGACCTTTTAATTTTTCATATATAAATGTTCTTAACAAGTATATTAGGTGTGATCAGATTGTTCGAAATGTATTGCGCAAATATATCATCGCATAATTCTGATAAACTTCATCTTCTCATTGCATTATCGCTATTTGGAATCATTTGCCTTCATATTATAATTCGCGGCAATGTTTTCATGCAGATTACTGTGATACATTTTTAAATTCGTATTATTATTAACACCATTGGATGCCGGCCAAGTCAGTGGTCTAGTTGGTGGCGAGAGACCGATAGATCCTGGGTTCGAATCCCGCGAGGCGGGGTCGTGGATAAGCATTGTTGAGGAGTCCCACAATAGGACGAGATGACCGTCCAGTGATTCCAGGTTTTCCATGATGGTCTAGCTTCAATTGACTCACGATCTCAACTGTTGAAATCACTACAATCTCCACAAAATCCCTTCTAATAATCCCTTATGTGTCAATTATTTTCCTAAGAAATTATAGTAGATAACATCGTCATCAAAATTTTCTTTAAGGAGTTAGAGGTCCTTCACTATGCTGTAGCATGAAGGACGGTAAATATGTTTGGTTTTTTTGTTTTTTCTCGAAATAATTTATTCGTTTACATTTTTATTAATAGCTGGATTACTATGAAAAGTGATTCTAGAGTCCTTATGCACTATTGATTTAGAATCAGAGTGAATCCTCCATATCCACCGACCCACTTTAAGCGCCATACATTTGCTTTTCGTCCACTCAATTTCGTAAAAAACACCCTCGCTGAGAGAAGGCAGGGAGTAGTACTTCTTTGACAGTGGCTATATACATGTGTCCATTTGGGAGCATTTGGAGAGAGGAAGAGCTGACTCTCACCCCTTCGGTCGTACGAGGATATTTAACGGGCACAGAAAAAGCTAAGCCTTAACGACTCATGATGTGCTAGTAGGTACATATAGACTAGTATTAGATACCATCTAGTTTGACACACGAATCCAATCAGCACGTATTATACGACCGTTATAATAGACTGATCAAACCTGTAATTTCAACAATGACAAAACTATTGAGTTATGAGAAATATCAATTCAAGCAAACAGTTCTGAGTACATCCATTCATTTTCAACGATTCCAGTACTTTTACATTAGTTGAATGAAACTGATAATCTTCAACTGTACATCTGTTTCAACCCTGTTCCAATGATATCATCATTCATTATTTGAATCATCCAGATTGGACATGTAAAATATTCGAATAGTAGTTAAGGCTTTTCAATCATTCTCACTATCATTCAATTATTTATTTATTTAAACATATAAATATAGTATACAAGGAGGTACCAAATAGATATGTACCACATAAATCATTTAATTTGCGTGAGAGCTAGGATACTGCGCGGCTGCTCAAACCGAAACAGGTGGTTTCTTTAGGGGGCCACATACCGAGTCTTTGACTTAATGGTCTAATCCACAAGGCAGTGGAGCAACGTGAAGAGATACAGTCCCATGATAGCCGGTCACCAACGTTTGGTTCATACGCCATTTGTTCCGTCACGGAACCCTTAAGCTCATGTGCATCATTGGTGTGGAATCATGATTTTCCAACTCCTCTAGATGGATCTTTCATATCCAACAACCTGGTTAAAGCGCCATACATTTGTTTTTCGTCGTCTCAATTTCATAAACAACACCCTCGCTGCGAGACTTCCCTGATAGAGGTTATATGCATGTGGCCATGTAATATCATTTCAAAAAGAGAGAGTTGACTCTGTTCACTCTCAGCCGTACCAGAGCATTTGGGGGCATTCAACAGATATGCTTGATATCCCATTCATTTGTACTGTATATATATATTTTTCTCTTACTAAACAATTTCCTATTGAATTTATCATCCATAACATAGATTTCTTTCCATATCAATGAGGTAATAATTTCAATTATAGGTCAAGCCATAATATATTTTTCTTTATTATTGTCACCTATATATCGTTGTTTCTAAATATACTTTAATGTTAGTAAACTTTTTTTTTATTACAGGTCAATACAATTTCAAAACGACATGGTGACAACAACCACAGCAACAACAACTAAAAATCAATAAACCATGTACTGTCACTCATCCTTACCCAACTACCGTTATTGATTTAATGTTTGTGTAAAAAGTAATTCACTGGTAAATTTAAATGACACTTTCAAAGAAACACTATTTTTTTTAATTTACACACTAAACAACTTTATCTTCCCATTTTGTTTTTGTTTTTGTATCATTCGTCAAGGTTTTCTTTATGATAAGAAAACGTCAGTTACAGAAATGAATTTGGTTATGTAATCATATGGATGAAATAAAATTTCAGTTTAATCAATAAGAACTTGCGGTTAAATTTGATTG